AACCCAAGAGAGCTAGGCCAATTTCCTCACCTGTGGGCACACCCTTAGGTGCTCTCCCAGATAATCAGCCCCAGTAAACACAGATAAGATCCTACCAGCCTTTCTTCTGCCAGGTTAGTTCCATAACAGCTCTGTTGATAGCTCCAGGTGATGCTCCGGTGATGGCTGGATCCGTGGTGGTGCTCTGAGGTCACAGGGCTGTGGTGGGGGCTGAGGTGCGTGGTTGTGGAGCTGGAAGGGTGGCGGGGGAAGGGGAGGAAAGCAAGGGACTGGGGGGACCTAAGGAGTGCAGGGCTTGGACACTATCACCAAGAGGTGGAAGCGGCGCTTGGGTGCTGCTGGTTGTTTATGCAGCAGCACCCTGTGTGTCGGGGGTCACACAGGTGCGGGCTGCAGGGGGGTCGCACAGTGGCAGGTAGTCTTCGCTCCTCTGGAGTTCCACGGTGGGTGGCTGACTATTGCTCTTCCTGGGTCTCTTCACTTTTGCTGTTTTTAATAGGTCTCTACACTTGGGCATATTGTCAAGAGAGGGTAGTATTTGGAAAAAGACATCCATTATGGAGGGAAGTATGGAACTTTCTCAAAAAGTTGGAAATAAAAATACAATTTATCTCAGCAAATCTACTACTGGGATATACCCTAAAGAAACTAAAGTTGCAACACAAACAGATATATGCACACCCATGTTTATTGCTGAATTATTCATAGTAATAAAGAGATGGAACCAACCCAAATAACCATCAACAAATGAATGGAGAGAAAACTATGGTTTAGTCACACAATGGAATACTACACAACATTGAAAAACAAGGCACTCATAAAATATTACCCAACACGGGTGATCCTGGAGAACATTATGCTGAGTGAAATCTCTCAGTCACAAAAGGACAAATACTGCATAACACCACTATTATAAAACAGGACTGTCATGGGTGTTAGGGGGAAACTAAGAAAAGAGGGGATGAATAATAGACACTGCTTTGGAACAGATGAAGAAAGGAACTGTTTAAAATGAATATATCTTCAAGTATTATTTGTACAACAACTGTCCAGAATAAGAGGAGTATAGAAAAGAGGACAGAGGAAGGAGGGGGAGAAAATTATGTAGCAATGAGAGAATATTTTCTTTTTTTTTTAAGTTAGATAACCCTTGGGGATAGGAAGGGAAACATGCAACAATGAATGAATGAAAATCCATCTTTTCGGCAAACTTTCATTAAAATCACAAAGAAAACAGAGGGGAATAAAACCTCCTCAAGTATTCTTAAAACCAAACATGTTGGGTTCCCCACCCCTTTAAAAAAAAACAACAAAAACAACCCCACAACAGGTTAAACTGCCACAGGTATTGGGAGCTAAGCAGCCTGTCTCCACCTCTGTCCAGCAGCTTCCAAGCAGAAAATTCCTCTCATGGGACCTTCTTTTTTTTTTCTTCTTCTTTTTTTAAATTTTATTTTATTAATTTTAATGAACACTTACAGAGATTGTGGATTTTAATTCATTCATTGTTGCACTTTTTTCTTTACCGCCCTCCCCTCAGTTCATTCGTCTCTTTGAAAAGCAAAAGATTAACTTCTTCGTTGGTATACAATCCCCCTGACCCTGACCCTGCCCCCCTCCCCACCCCACCCCAAATGCACTCCACTATGCAACCTTAATTCTGGATTCCTGTGATAATCATAATATGCTGTCATATATCACTTTTAAACTGTTCTTGCCCTCATCTGTTTCAATGCAGTATACATAATCCATCCAGTTTTTCTCAGTCTTACCACAACCCTGATGTCAGTCACTTTCTGCAACAGTGGCACCATGCAGTATTTGTCCTTTTGTGACTGAGATATTTTACTTAACATAATGTCCTCCAGGGTCACCCATTTTGAACAATATTGCATGAGTTCCTTGTTTTACAATGCAGAATAGTATTCCATTGTGTGAATATACCACAGCTTCTCTATTCATTCATTTCTTGATGGTCATTTAGGTTGTTTCCAACTCCTAGCTATTTTGAACAAAGCCACGATAAACATGGTGTGCATATATCTGCTTGGATGTCATTTATGTCTCTTTAGGGTATATTCCCAGTAGTGGAATTGCTGGGTCAAATTATATCTCTCTTTGCAACTTTTTGAGAAAGCGCCACATCACTTTCCACAGTGGTTGCACCATTTTACACTCCCACCAACAGTGAATAAGGATTCCAGTTTCTCTACAACCTTGCCAGCATTGCTATTCTGTTAAATTTTGCTTACTGGGGTGAGATGATATCTCATAGTTGTTTTGATTTGCATCTCTCTCAGAGCTAGGGATTTTGAACATTTCTTCATGTGCTTGTTGGCCATCTGAATGTCTTCTTTGGTGAAGTGTCTGTTTATATCCTGTGCCCATTTTTCAATTGGATTATTTACCTTTATCTTGCTGTGGTTCTCAAGTATTTTATAAATTCTAGATAGAAGTCACATGGGACCTTCTTGAACACATAGTCCCTTAGCTTTGGGGAGCTGGGTTTGGGTTCACTGTCCCCCCTGCTCCTATCTTAATTGAGAGGCTAGCCTAGGCAAGGAGAAAGGGAATCGTCATCATTCCCGTGGAGGGAGTTGATGGCATCAAGTGCAGAGCCCCGGGTCTCCACCATTAGCTTCTGCTTTACAGCAGAGTAATAGGTGCAGGGCTTCTGCTAGCAATGTCTTATGGTGATATAGGACTCTCCTCCATACATGTTTAAGTATTTAAAAATGACTGCCTTAAATATTGTGCTCTTTTAAGAACTATTTATATGAAATCATCTAGTCCCATGGACTGCCAAAAGAATAAACGAATATGTCTTGGAGAAAGTCCAACTAGGGTACCCTTTACAGGCGAGGATGATGAAACTTCTCACATACTTTGGGTATGCTGTTAGGAAAGGCCAGTCCTTGGAAAAACACATCATGCTTGGAAAGGTGGAGGGTGAGAGAAAAAGAAGACCTTCAACAAAATTGATTGACACATGGCTGTATTAATGGGCTCAAGATGGCACGCAGTAGGCAGGGTCCAGATTCGTTACTCATAGGACCTCTGTGAGTTGTAGTAGACTTGATGGCAGCTAATAACAATAGCTGTACATTTATAGTAGAATGGACTTTGAGGGCCAGTAAGTTTATGGTAATGAGGCAGGAACATCTCAGAAGAGGAGGGCTAGAATAGTTGTGCAATTTGAAAAATGTCATCAGTGCCACTGAATTATATAAGTAGAAAGCTGGTGCACATTTTTGCATTATATATGTTCTCAACAGCAATAAAAACCCCTCTATAGAAGAGTTCTACTCTGATATACATGGAGTCACCATGCGTCAGAATGGGTCTGAGGGCCAAGTGTTCATACTACATAATCTGATTTGACTCTAACGTCTGGTTTCACCTAATGTGTTGAGAACATTGTCTCTGGACTAGGTCTTTCTGGTCTTTGAGTGAAACTTGTGGATTTCTCTTCAGGATTCTTCCCGGCCAAAAGCACCCCAGAAGGCACTGCCTGCTAACCCAGTGCCCGGACGCAAGATCCTCCCAAGGCCAAATGGCACCTCTGCTCTGCTGCCCCCTGCTGCTGGCCCTCAGCAGTGCCGGCCACTGCTACCACCTGCCCCAAAGTGAGTACAGAAAGGCCCGATGCCAAGGGTGGGTGGGGTGGGGGGGAGATACTTGAGAAAATGAACCAGTTCATGCATCCTATCTGGCTGAAGCATAAAAGCAGAGGACAAATGTTTAGTGCTCCTTGGTGCCCAATTGTCTGTCCCTTAAATTAGTAATAGAGTTTTTTGTTTTCCTGTGAATGGTGACACATAGGAGCCTAAGCTATGGAGACAGGCATATTGACCATCTGACCATCTGAGTGATTCTGAGCTAGTCACTCCCTTAAGTCTCAGTTTTCTTAACAGTACAAACAAAACCCACAAAAACCCCGCAACAATCACTAGTCTCTTAAAGTTGTTTTGACAGCAAAGTCAATTAATTTCTATAACTTACTAGCATGTGGTAGGACACAATGCACAGTGGTCATTCTTAGAACATCTTCTCTGAAGTTGCCAGTCCCTGGAGGTGGATCAGGAAAGGATACACTGAGGAAGTCAGAGTTCTGCACACGCACTGCTATGCAGTCAGTTGGTTCTGATTCCCAGACACCCCCTCCATCAGGTTTCCGAGACTATATCTCAGTGGAAGGAGATCACCTCTCTTCCTCCCATGAAGCCCCTTGTGGATTGAGACCCATGGAGATACAGAGCCTTTGTGCTAGCAGCACAAGTCACTAGAAACTGCACCACCAGAGTTCAAGGCACCAGGAAGTCTTGAGGTGGGGGATGAGGGTAGAAGGGTGAGTGGATCCTCTCACTAGTTCAAGTTCCTAAGCATTGTCAAGAAAACAGACTTCTCCCCTGTTTAAGAGACACCCCACCACCACCGCTATGCCTTTGACTGAAGGATTGGCATGAGCGTTGTAAATATTTCTTCTCAGTTGACACGTCTGTCTCTTTCCAAACTGCGAAAGAGTGGAGAGCACAGCTCTTCATCAATCTCAGGTGCATTTAGCTGACATTTTTCTCCCTTTCTCTTCTTTCTGCAGTTTCCTGCGTACAGATCACAGAGGGTTGGGGAAATGACCAGATAGAAAATCTAGACCTGGTCAAGGGGTGTCTCTGCCTGTTCCTGAGAACTCTGGACATGCAGAGGATCCTGTGGACATGGAATCTGGAAGAAGCATGTCTGGCCACCCTGCGCTCCTCCTCTCTCCTCTCAGAACCACCACATCTCTGAAAAGCCCCTTCTGGACTCAGCGCTGCCTCAGCTTCCTCAAAGGCCCAAAGGGACGACTTTCAATAGAAACTAAGTGTTGTTTTGTGCAATATACAGTCTAGGACAGGGAAAAGGGAATGGCCCCATCTCCCTCCAGCCTCCCTTCAACTGATCCTCAGCCCAGAGGTGGCAGTGAAGGCGGCTTTCCTGGCCAGGATGTAGCTTGGAGAAGCCATGTCTCATGGGGAGGACCCCCATGAGAGCATTCCATTGGCTCTGTTGTCTTGAAGGTCTCAGGCTGGAGGGAGGTTGGACATGTTGCCCCTCTCTTTCAGCACTGGGAAGTGAGGAGGGGTCAGACCAGTCACTGCTGGGGTCCTGCCCAGGATTTTGTTGAGTGGTCTGAGGGTGACATGTGTCTGCATGTGAGCAAGTCCAGTCCCCCGTCACCGCCCCTGTGCCTCCCTTCCTATCCACATGGGTCACTCTGACTCTTGACAGGTACTATTTGTAGGCAACGCAGACAGCAGGGGGAGCACCAGGCTGGAGCCTCCTCTGAGCCGTAAAGCCAAAGGTTGTGACTGTAATTCTTGTTTGCGCTATGTTTACGCTTCTGCACTAGCCAAGTGCCCCATCCTTTTGACTTCTCCTTGGCCCATCAGACCCACTCTGATGTGTGGTGCTTTGACGAGTAGATTCTTAGCCATCTTAAGTTTTTGGTAACCTGGTGCTTGTGACCTAAAAGTCAAGGTCCTGCCTCAAGGGGTGACCACTTGTACGTTCTGTGTGAAATCCCACGGTTAAAGACTGGAGTAGGCGTGGGTATGTCCGTGGGGGTTAGAGCTTTATTTTTCATGGTGTCTTATGACCTCAGCAGGGTCAGGATCTTTCTACCCTCTCACCTGAATCTAAGCAAATCTTGCCAACCAGGCCAGCAGGTGTTGTGAAGGGAGCAGGTGTCCTAGGACCCCAGCTAAAAGTCTCCTTAGTGGTCTAAGCGACCACTGAGTTAGGCAGGAATGTTGCCCACTGAGCAGAGAGAGAGGATATTCCTCTAGTCATGGGGGTAGGTTCTTGAGAAAAGGCAGCTGTCAACGAGACCACTTTCAGAACGATCTGAGATGGGGCTACCTGCCCTTCCAGTCACCTGGCCTTCTGCTTCGTTTTGTTCTCTTCCCTGATTAGGGATCCTCAGAGGTCAAAGAAGAAGAAGAATGCATGTAGATGGGTCCCATTCTCCCTGAGCAGGGTGGGCGGCCCTGTGGGCTGTAGGTGCTCTTCTAGGAGAGGGATTTCCACTAAGTAGCTGGAGATGTTCTCTGGGGACCTGTCTCCTATCCTGGGACAGATGCTGGGCGGCTCTCCAGAAGGGAGCTAGACTGGGGGTTCTGAGGGGTCTCCTCATCTCCTGCAAGAAGTTGTTTACTCTTGAGAACTTCAGCTCAGGGAAGAGATGGAGCTTTGGGCTCCCCCGGCCACTGCCCCACAGCCCCCTCCTTACAGTTCTCTGGACACAATGGGTGCTCAATAGATGTTCTTGGGTTCATAATAAGTGAGAGACAGGAGCTGTCTGCCTGGGGACAAGCATGGGGTCGGGCTAGATCTCAGGATGGTGTGTTTCTCTGGTCACATCCATGCCCCTCTCCCCTGGCAAGGGCTGTCCTTCCTCCCTTCCGCCACCCAACCTCTACGTTCCTTCCTTGTTGCCTGATAAAGGGAGGTGGGGTGGGCAGCCTTCCATTCAAACCACTACCCCAAATGCCAGGCGCCTCAGAGCTTCTCCAAATGCCAAATGAGCAAAGAAGTAATGGTAAGAACACCCCCACCCTCAAAATCACCCTTAAGTACCAGCCCCCATATGCCCCCCTGGTTGATGCACCTTCTCCCTCAGCCTCAGGAACTGCGTGAACCCTGAGTCACAGCTCGGGGTGGCAGCACCTTTTGAACCAGAAATCTACTCTCCTTGGAACCACACAGAAGACATGAGGCCCGGCTTTTTGTTGTTTCCACATCCCTCCATCCCATGAAATTGTACTGTGAACTGGAAGACAGCAAATTCTTTGAATTTAACAGGAACTTTTGGCAGCTGGCTGTGCTCAGGAGTTGGGGACCTACATTTTTGTGAAGCAGGAGGTGTCCTGAGGGGACTGGATTCTTACATAATCCTCTTTTCCCTCCTGTGCCCACAAATGCTGCAGTGTCAGAGAAAACGTGCAGACTTGATTAACGGGAGATGCCATCCAGAAGGATTATTGCGTGGAGGAGGAAGAGAACATTGCAATAGGGGAAATGGGGACAGGGAGGCTGCTAAGATCACGAGATCAGAAAACTTCTCTTTATCCAGAAAAGAATTTTTCTTTTATAGGCAGACAAGCAAGGGCTGGGGTCAGGGAAGTGTGTTTCTAAGTCTTTGGGGGAGGCTTTGTTGAGAAGGGGATTTTAAATCACCATTGCAAACCCTGTGATCACAATTCTACCCTGAAAGAAGTGGGGTCCCCCCAGCTGGAACTGCCTCCAGAGCTACTGGGGTGTTTTCAAAATGTGGTTTGGGGGGTTTTGTTTGTTTGTTTGTTTGTCTTGCTTTTGTCTTTTGGGTTTTTTGGCTCAGGAGTGAGGGTAGGTCGAAGTGCAGGGTCCTATGAGGAAGATCGAAACTGAACTCAAAATCCATTAACAAGCTAACAAGGACTTTGTTCTGATGTAAATCTGTTTAAAACTAAACTTCAAGCCAGTTTTACAGCCCAGGAATGCTTCTCTTTAGTGCCTTGGAGCCAGGTTTTTTTTTTAATGTAAGCCTAAAGGCTGACAACATCTTTTTTTTTTCTCTGTCTCTGAGAATGTTTGCCTAGGTACCCAGTAAGTCCCAGGAGCTGTGGGGCATAGTCCCAAGAGACTTGTGCTGATAACCAAAAGGCAGCCCCTCTCAGCCTGTTGGAATTCACTGTCCTCCACAGGATAAAGAGGAACAATCTCTTCCCATGTGATCCACAGCCTCAGAAAACTCACTGGAGGTCAGCTGCGAATTTGACTCAATGCAATGAATTTGAGGGTTGGTTGTTGTGGATTTTGTTGTTGTTGTTTTTACCCAAACAAACCTTCATTTCCAAGTTGTAGCTACCTTGTCATAAGTCCCTTCAAGGACAGTTTGTATAAATTATCACGTAGCTAGCCAAAAGATTTGGAAGCAGGAGTGGCATCCACTTCCTAAATAACATGCCTCCAGAAACCCTATGAACTTTGATAAATGTTGATGGCTGTGGAGGGGCTTCAGGCCTTTTGTTCATGGGGTTGCTATGAGTCGTACTCAACTCGAAGGCAATCAACAACAACAAAGGCCAAAAGATTGGCAGTTCAAGTCCAAGAGCTGCCTCTTGGGAGGATGACGAGCAGTCTTGGATTTATAGCCTTGGAAACCCAGTGGAAGGGTCACCCTAAGAAGGAACCAGTTCTGTGAGGTTTCAGATATGAAAGCGAAAGGAACTTTGGTGGTGCAACAGTTAAGCATTCTTCTGCTACCCAAGAGATTGGCTGTTCAAACCTACTCAGTGGCTTCTTGGAAGAAAGACCTGGTTATCTGCTCCCATAAAGAGTTAATTAAACCTAGAAAACCTATGGGGCAGATCGGCTTTGTCACACGGGATCTCCAGGAGTTGAAAATCAACCTTATGACACGCAACAACATAGAGGATCTTTCTGACACTCAGATTTAAAGTTAGAGCATTTTCTGTTGCCAGCACAAGGTACGCTGTTCAAATCCACCAGCTGCTCCACGGGAGAAAGATGGGCAACCAACTCCCGTACAATTTACAGCCTCTGAAAACCTGCTGGAAGGTCAACTATGGGTCGGTTCCGACTCAGTGGTA